AAATGGCCCACAGTTGGCTCCGGGCATTCAACATGTGGCCTGGGAATGGTGTTCTGGGAACACGAAGAATACGAAGTGGCCTACAGTTGGCTCTGGGCATTCAACATGTGGCCTGGGAATGGTGTTCTGGAAAGACGAAGAACACGAAGTGGCCTACAGTTGGCTCCGGGCATTCAAAATGTGGCCTCGGAATGGTCTTCTGGGAACAGAATCTGTAGGAATCCATAGGAAAATAGAGCAATCTATAGGAGTCCCGGGAAGTCCCCGGATTCCCCGGATTCCCCCGGATTCTCTCGGCATCCGCCCAGACACCCCTGGGGAGTCAAGATGCTCTCTTGTGAGCCCACTAGAAACCTATCAGTCTTCGCTGTTAGGTAAAAACAACTCCTGGAACCAGGAAGACAACGCTCCAGGAGTGGAACCCGGGATTGGAACTGGGAACAACAATGCGACGGAACGGGCAAAAGACCAGTGCCCAAACCAGCGCAAAACTGCAAAACGGAACCGAGGAACAACCTGTGTCGCTTCCATGGCCCGCTCAACTCTTGTCGTTTCCGGCCTGCTGTGCCCGTGCTACGGGTCCCCGCTCGCCGCTCCCGCTCCAGGTCCCCATCCTGCTCCTGCTGCTTACGGCAGGGCCGCTTTTCCCTGCTAGCGTTGCGCTTCGAAGGCTCTAATCGACTGCCTCACAATTCATTGAGGAAACGTGCTCTCGCCTCAATGCCGGCAACATGTTTGCTCTGGACGGCCACGATCCCTGGAACACAAATAAATCAAGGTGCACATGACCGTGTCTCGACTTTCCCCCTCCTACTGCTCCTCGTCCTGCTCCTCCTCCTCGACCCTTCTCTTCACCTTTGCTGCTATCAGGGTGCTTTGCTGCGGTAATAAAGAACTGCCTCCTGATCATGAACACGAAAGAAATGGTGCACCGAAAAAAAAAAAAAAATGTTCACCGAAACGGCCTGGGCAGTCCGGGGATCCGGTAGACGTTCCGACCCAGTTTCGACAACGGTTCGGATCCAGTGGAGAAGCTGTGATCTGGATCAAGCCCCGACCAAGTGACAAGAAACCGGTAAAACGCCGGCGCCAGAAACGTCGACAAAAACGGTGCGATAAACGGTACACAAAAAAGCTAAAAACTAACACTCCCCAAAAACGACCCCGTCGTTTCCAGGGCCCCCTGGCCTCCGGGCAACCGTTCTCGCTCCAGGTCACAACCCTGCTCCTGCTCCAGCTGGTGCTGTCGGTCCTCCTCCGACTCGGCATCATCATCATCATCATCATCATCATCATCATCATCATCATCATCATCATCATCATCATCATCATCATCATCATCATCATCATTCCCATCATCATCATCATCATCATCATCATCATCATCATCATCATCATCATCATCATCATCATCATCATCCAATAATCATCATCAGCATCACATCAACACCATCACCATCGCATCATCATCCATCATCATCATCAACATCATCATCATCATCAACATAACATCACATCATCATCTCAACATCAACCACACAACATCATCATCATCCGTAATTAATCCACATCGACCTCAGCACCATCATCTTCATCACTATCATCGTCATCATCAGCATCATCATCATCGTCAGCATCATCATCATCGTCATTAGCGTCGTCGTCGTCATCGTCATCATCATCACCATCCTCATCATCATGATCCGCATCATCATACGTCTCAACATCATTATCCTCCTCCTCCTGATCATCCTCACTATAACCATCATTGTCATTATAGTTTCGTGTCATCAACACTTGAATCCTCATCCTCCTCCCCCTCCTCATAATCGGCATCATCCTCATCATGCTCATCAACATCCTCATCCACATCATTATCCTCATCATCCGCCTCATCCAGATCCACTTCATTCTCATCATCACCATCGTCATCATTATCCACAGCATCCTCCCCCTCATCATCATCGTCATCACCATCATCATAACCAGCATCAGCATAATCAAAATCATGCTCGGTATCGTCATCACTATCATCATACTGATCATCAGCAGCATCGCCATCATCAATATCAGCATCATCACCCTCACCCTCATCATCATCATCATCATCATCAACATCAACATCAGCGTCATCATCAGCATCAGTATCCTCACCATCCTCTTCCTCCTCCTCCTGGTCATGATCATCATCACCATCACCATCATCATCATCACCATCATCACCATCATCATCATCATCATCCTCATCATCATCACCATCATCAAAATCAGCATCCGCATCCTCATCCTCATTTGCATCGTCTTCCTCACTCTCACCCTCCTTATCATCCCGATCATCATCTGCATCCCTCTCGAGATAGAGAGAACGAGAGAGAGAAGGACAACGCACAACACATTAGGGAGGGGGCGGAGGCACGTCGCAGCTGGAGGAGGCACGGCAGAAGGAGGGGGGGCCAGAGGAGGATGACATGAGAACGGGGGAGCCCGCCTCCTCCTGCTCGACACACACACACACACATTCGTGACCTCACGGGTGTCTTGAGGTGGCCCGTAAGACCTGGAAACTCAAACATACCCGAGGGGGCACACACACGGAAGAAGAGGAGGAGGATCAGGAGGAGGAGGAGGAGGAGCGGCAGCAGCAGCAACAGCAGCCAGAGCAGCAGCAGGGGAGGAGGAGGACTTGGAGGAGGTGGGCATCCCCAACCGACCTTCCATCCTCGGCGGAAGAGGAAGAGGAAGAGGAAGGGGGATCCCCCTCGGATCCTCGTCATCTGCTTCATCCCTCCCCTTCCTTCCTCTTCCCTCCCCCCGCTTCCCAAATACCATTGCCGCGCCTCCAGCTCTTCCGCTTCACCCTACACCTTTTATTTCCCGTCGCCTCCCCCTTCCGTTTCCACCCCTTCCCCTCCCCTCTCCTCCTCCCCCTCTCCTCCTCCGCCCACTCAACCCCCCTCCCTCGCTTTCCCCTTCCCCACCTCCTCTTCCTCATTACCCTGAAGAAGATGAGAGCAGCGGGGAAAGAAGAGTGCAGTAGCCCCTCCTCCTCGGCTCCACCCGTGTTCGCTCCCCAGAGAAGCACCGCCTGCATCCCCACGCCGCCGCCCCTCCTCCTCGGCTCCGCCCGTGCTCGCTCCCCAGAGAGGCACCGCCTGCATCCCCACGCCGCCGAACAGGCTCTGCAGGCCTGAGGACGAGGCGCGAGGGCTCGGGGGGGGGCAGGGGGGGGGGGGCGGGGCGAAGGAGGGGGACGGGAAGGGGGGGCGAAAAAGAGGGGGCGGGGTGGAGGAGGGGAAGGAGGAGGCGGAGGGGGAGGACGGGGAGAAAGGGGAGGAGGACAAAAAGGAAAAGTTGAAAGGAGAGGGACGAGGAGGGGGAGGAGGAGGAGGACGAGGACGAGGTAAGGGAGGAGGGAGAAGGAAGAGAGAGCGAGTGAGAGGAACACACAGACAAGCACGCTACGGGCGCTCGCGCCGCATCTGACACCCGAATTACTCGCTCCCACCAATCCTCACCCATCGAATTGCATATCTCCCTGAGCGGCTTGTCTGTAAGGGCTCCACACACACGTTCTGTCGCCGCGCCGTTTGCTCGAACCGCGCCCAAGAGTGGACGACGCCGACACCACGGCAGACCTACGGCAAGCCCCGCGCCCCGCGCCCGAGGAGACGCACAGCCGGCGCCGCGGCGGCAAACTTCACGGCAGGCCCTGCGCCCCAGGAGGTCGAGCTGGCCCCGGTGGCCGAGAGGCGCCCTCCCCGAGACGCAGGGCCGCGCGTCGGAATCGACGGCGCAGGAGGATCGAGGATCGAGGACGGGGATGGAAGAAGACCGAGGATCGAAGATCGAGGAAGAGGACCGAGGATCGAGGACCGCAGACGAGGATTCTCGGAGCCCGGTGGGTGCGTCGCAAGGTCCAGGGTGGGTCGGGCGACGTTGTCTGCCGCTGTCTCCTGGTGTCACCTGGCGTCGCCCAGTGTCTCCCGTTGTCTCCCATTGCATGTCCCCATCCCTATCGGAATCCCTATTCCTATTCCTCGCCGTATCCGCACCCCGATCCCCATGGCCTCCCGTTGCCACACATGGTCTCCTGTCGCCTCCCGTTGTCTGTCCCTGTTCCCGTCCGTCTCCGGATCCAAATCCTTATCCCTATCCCTATCCATTTGCCTGTCCACCATCCCTACTCTTGTTTTTGTTAGTATCCATGTGCCAATCCCCATCTCCATCCCGATCCCGATCCCTATATCCCTGTATCCCTAGCCCTACATCCCACCTCTCCACATCCCAGTCGCTTTCCCATTGTGACCCCCCATAGCGGCCCCCATCGTAACTGGTTATAGCTGTTAGGTCTTCTGCCGCAAGGGTATCATGTCAGATCCACCGATTACGGTGTCCTGGGGGCATTGCTTGTCAACTGCAATCTATGACCCATCACCCGCTGCAAATCGGAAAAGGGAGGCACATGGTTGGAGGAGGCAAACTGAGCAGCAGAAAGAGGATGAAGAAAAGGACTGAGAGGAGGAAGAGAAGGAGGGAGGAGAACGTGGATCTGGAACAGGAGGAGCTGGAGTAGGTGGGTGTGCTCGCGGGCGTCTTTCGCTACAATTGTAGCTTTGCCCAGCCGCAGCCGCACTGGCGGGGACTCAGCCGACGCCAAAGTTCGAGCCAGAGTAGAGACTGGGAGGGAGACAGCACTTGGCAGCCTGCAGTCCTTTATTCGGATGGCAAGTTGCGCAATGGCAAATGCCGCATTCTGCGAGCCTCCTCAGGCACGGAGAACGCTCCTGAACAAACAAATTGGAACGACGCCAAAGAGCTTGGCCACGTACGCAACCGTCGCTGCAACGCACTGGTGGCAATGCTCGCCAGGTGACCAAAAGTGGAGTCACTGAGAGGCGGCGGCGGTCAGACAGGCTGCTTCGACGATCGAAATTGTCAAAACAAACCTTAGTAAAAAATCAGAAGGCTGAAATTCAACAGCATACCTGGTTATGGTCTGCACGGGGATCAATGACAGCAGCACCACAAAAGACACTCCCATGCCATCGTCCGTCAATCGCCTTCGCAGTTCCTTGTCCCACGAAGCGTATTGCAACGTCACCACGTACAGAAATGTGTCCATGCCTAGCAGGATCTGCCAGATTTGCTGCCATCGGGAGCAGCACGGCCAGGGTGTGAGGAAGGCGGCGCTACCGATCATGAACAATGGGACGACATGCACAATGATGAGCCGGATTGCGGTCAGGGGCTTCGTGACCATCCAGCCGCCCACTTGGTAGGCTTTTTGGACGGCTGCAGACAGTACAAGAATATCAAATAGCGGCCAGGCGACGCAAATGAAGTACATCGTAACGTACCTGTACTCCTCCGCAACCATGGGCAATGTCTTCTCCAGCAACCAGTCGGCACCATGGTCTTGCACCCAACTGATGGGCTTCGCAATCTCCTCTCCGATGACCGCGGCATGCTCTCCGCCCTTGTCCTCGTCCACATCGCCGATGGGGAGGCCGCTGCTGTCGTTGTCATGCCCCCCCCCGCCGGCGACCACCAGGGTGGGCTGTCCTGCGACCAGCAGCGCGACGACAAGAAGGACGCGTCGGCTCGCCATCGTTAACGCGGCGCGGCCTCCTGCTTCTGGACCGCGCGAGGCGCGACGCCCGCTGAGCCAGACTTGCTCTTGAGCCAGCATGGCTACGGAAGGAGGAGCTGGAGTAGGAGAAGCAGGGTGGTTTGGGCCAGCGGCTGAGGGGAAAGGGGGGGACGGCTGAGACGAGGAAGTCGGATCCGGACATGTGACCCGCGCGGGGTCGAGAGTGCCATTCTGAGCGACGGGGGGACAAGTACCGATCTTGAAATGTGGTCAACGCTAACATATAAAAGCGGAAGCAAGCACATATAACAGACCATCATGCGAAACCTTCGTACAAGCAGAAACCATCTGGGCCGTCTTAGGGGGGTTTTGAGAAACCCCTTGGACCGATTTGGGCGTTCGGGGCGGCGGGGAGGCGAGAACTCTAAAACATTCAGACATCTTAGGGAGATCACCTGTGTTGCCTCTCGGGCGCTTTTCAAGGGTCTTCGTAGGGCTCCTTGGGCCTATCTGGGGGGCCCCTTGGCAACCATTCTAGGCTGTCTGGGGCCGCCTTGGAAGTGTCGAAGCCGTCCTTGGGGTCTCTTGTCGCTTACTCGTGCCCTGTGCAGGATTCCCGGACCTTTCTTGAAGCACCTCCGACTTAAGCCTGAGTAGCCAGCCTGGCGCAGATGGGTCCGCAGAGAGGGGTACAATAGTAAGCGTAATAGTTGACGCCTGAATGTAATAGCTTGCGCGCTGGATATCATAGTTGCGCGCGGATGTAGTTGTGCAGCTTGTGAACGTTTTCTTATTCGGCGTTTGACATTGGGCGGAAGGGGGGAGAGGGGGGTGTCTGGCTCTGGACCTCTACTGGATACAACTGTTTACAGCAGTGCATTTTATGGGGGAGGCTCCACCTCCTTGAGGCAGGCGCTCAAAAAACAGCCAGGATCCACGCCCCAATCGGCAAAACAGTCTATAAGAAAACGATCATCTTTTTCTACATGCAGCAAATATCGCCCGTGCCATGATTCGTCCCCCCCCCGCGATTGTTGCGTACTACTGCGCGCCAGAGTACGCGCTGAACGAGCGATGCCACCTCTCACCGCCGACCCAGCTGCGCCAGAGCCACTGCTCTGGCGTGGACCTGGGCTGCTTTCGGAGGCCCGGGAGGGGCCTCGGGCGGCTACACGCAAGAGCTCGGCGGTGGCTGAAGGTGCCCCCAGGCCCAAGGTGCCCCCAGCTTTTCGCCTCAAGTTTGGGGGGGCCCCTGGGGCCGTGGGCCTCGTGAAGGGTGCTCTGGAGGCCATGGGGCCCTCCTTGAAGATCCTGGGGGCACCCCGGGCCAGGGGCACTTCTGGCAACACCGGAAGAGTGACCCCAGGCAAGAGGGGCCTACCAGTGCGCGGCCAGGGGGGGGCCCTTTGGGGGCACGGCCAGGCGCGCGAGCCGCTGCTATCGCATCGCACTCGGCGTTCGGGGGGCCCCGTTGGGCCCGCCCCAAGAGGTCACTCCGGCTCAAGGTCACTCTCACGTGTTGTCGACTCGGATGCCCGGGACCCCCACTCAGAAGCTCGAGGCCCCGGTTCTGTGGCCCCCCTTTCCAGCCCCAGTGGTGCGCGCAGGCGGCGCGCAGCAGGGCGCGGGCAGGGGGGCGGGGGCGCACGGGGGCGCGGCGCGGCGCGGCCGGGGGGGGGCGCATGGGCCCGGCGTGGGGGCGCATATGGGGGCGGGCGGGTGAGGGTGCATGGGCGTGGGGGGGGGCGGGCGCATGGGGGCGGGCAGCGGCCCGTATGGGAGGGGGGGGAGTCACACGGGGGGCGCGGCGGGGGGGTGGGGTGGGGCGCAGCGGTGCGGTCCTAGAAGGAGGCGGCGGCGGAAGCGGATGAGGATGATGATGATGATGATGATGATGATGATGATGATGATGATGATGATGATGATGATGATGATGATGATGATGAGGGTGATGATGGTGATGATGGTGATTATGATGAGCATGGTGATCATGATGATGATAGTGATGATGATGATGATGGTGATGATGATGAGGGTGATGATGGTGATGATGGTGATGATGATGATGATGATGAGCATGGTGATCATGATGATGATAGTGATGAGGATGATTATGATGATCATGATGATGGTGCTGCTGCTGCTGCTGATGATGATGATGATGATGACGACAGCGATGGAAGCGCAGATCCAAGAAATCCGCACAGAGTTCGAAACTCGACATGTATGTGATATGTAATCTTGTTCGGCTCTCTCACCTTGGTGGCGCCGGCATTGGATCCAGGGATCTGCTGGTCGGCACCGCCTTGACGAACTCGACGGAGATCTGCCCCTCCATTAGAGAACGGTGTGCAGACTTCTGAGCCGGAGGCCCCAGCACGCGAGGAGGTGGGGCGAGGAGGGGGGCGACGAGAAGCAAGGCGGCTGCCCAGGCTGTGGGCGCGATGCAGACGGAGGAGGGGGCTTAAGGACAGGGATCAGCGGCGAGAGCGAGGGGGCGAAACGAGAAGGAGCGGGCCTCCTCGGAAGGCGGCAGAGCCCTCGCGAGAGGTGTTCTGCGTCTTCGGAGGAGACTTGGAAACTTCTCCGAAGGCGGGGGGTCTCCCGAGCCTTTTCAGGAGGACCGCCCCTTCTCACCTCTCCCCCTCGCTCGCCGCCGAAGGGAGGAGGCGGAGTCGGGAGGGCCAAACAGGTTTCCCACCGCCACCAAGAACCTGGGCATGAAGAGGCCGACGCCCTTCGAACTGCTGCCCCGGTGCTCACGGTGCCCGCCCCCGCCAGCGCTCGACACCTCTGCGAACGCATCTTGTTGGCCACTTTCTGGGTCTTCGTTTGCCTGGGAGGTGTGTGTGTGTGTGCGTGTCAACGAGAATCGGGGATCTGCTGACCCGGGTCAATCCAGACCAGGGTCAGTCGGGCCTTGCAGGATCCTGCAGGACCCTGCAGGATCCTGCACCCAAACACGGGCCAATGCGAAGGATCCTGCAGGATCCTGCACCCAGACCCGGGTCAGTGCGCCCCTGGCCCTGCAGGATCCTGCAAGATCGGGCGCTCTGGCTGACCCCCGTTTGCACTGACCCCCGTCTCGAGGCTCCCGAGACATAGTCGGTCTTCGTGCTGCAGAGGCGGAGTGGTTGAGGCGAGAGCATTTATTTTTGGTGAGGAAGGTTTAGGGTGGTGCGGGGGAGGATGGGGGGACGGTGGAGGCCGGTAGAAGAGATTGGTGGACTGGGGTTGGGGCCTGGCGAGAAAAAATACGACGGCACGGCGGAGGGGCAAAAGTTATGTGCCGTGCGGAAGGGGGCCCGGGACACCCCGCCGTGCTGTCTTGTGGAGGCACTGTTCCACGTTTGGACTGGGGGCGTGGGAGCGATCGACGGCGTGCGGGGCGCTTGTCTATGTGGCGCTGGTGTGGCTCTTGCCCCGCGCCTGGCTGCTGGTGGGGAGGGGGGACCAGAGTTGGGGACCCGTGGGAGGATACCCCCAAGGAGTATGTTGTGGCACTGGACTTCGTGAGGCAGCCGCCGCAGCCGCCGAAGACGACGCTGCGCAGATAGAAGACGCCGGCGCGAGAGATCAAACGCAGCAAGACGACGGGAAGCAGCCGCCGCCGGCCGCCGCAGACCGCCGCTGATGAATCATCATCATCTTCATCATTAATCATCATTCATCATCATCATCATCATCATCATCATCATATCATCATCTATCATCATCATCGTCATCGTCATGTCATCTCGTCATCGTAATCATCTCATCATCATCATCATCATCATCATCATCGTCATCGTCATCATCATCATCATCATCATCCTTTTTCCTCCCAACCTTCTCCTCCCTCTCCCCATGCCCCTCCCCCTCCTCAACCTCCTGCATTCCTCTTCCGTATACATGATTTCTCCCTGTCGCACCCCGAGGCCAGTTGTTAGGGCGGGCTGGGCGTTTCGACTGAGACTTCCCCACCATTTATGACCCTGAAGCTTGCACCTCGGCAGCAGCTCCACAGGTGGAGGGCAGGTGGTCTTCACATGTTGCTCTTGCCTTATTCCCGCGCACCTTCCCTTTGAACATTTGCAAGAGCTTCATGGATTGAGGGCGGGTGGTTTTCAAAATGTGGCTCTCGCCTCAGCGCCGCACACATTCGCTTAAACAAACTCCAAGCCTTTCACGGATTGAGGGCGGATGGTTTTGAAAATGTGGCTCTCGCGTGTCAGCGCCGCGCACATTCGCTTTAACTACTTGCAAGAGTTTCGCGGATTGAGTGAGAGCGGTTCCTGTTCATCACAATGTGGCTCTCGCCATAGCGCAGCGCACGTTCGTTTCAACAGTGTGCAAGAGTTTCACGGATTGAGGGCCTTTCCTTTTCATCAAAAAGTGGCTCTCGCCTTTAGCGCCGCACACATTCGCTTTTAACAAGTTGCAAGAGCTTCACGGATTTCCTGGTAGGGGGTTGTGAAGAGGGAGCTTGGAGGGAGGGTTTCCTCCAACATCGTTGATGACACTTGGGTTCACACTGGTCCTCCTCCTCATCCTCCTCTTCTCTCCGTCTTTCTCTCTCTCTCTCTCCCTCTTCCTCCGCAACATTTTCTCGCAAGGCTTTCCACAACGACTGGAGGTAACACACAGTCCTATGGTATGGCCAGACTCTGGTCCAGCGTGTGGCCACAGAGGCGTCCCCAATAGTGAAGGGACGGTGGTGGTTCGTCGTAGGCGAATGCGATGTTTCAAGGTATCGTTACCAATCATAATGCATTGGAGGGGAAGGTATGCCGACAATCTGTCATTTCGAGGGCGAACACCTGTATCTTGGTCCAAGCGTCCAACCTGTTCCGGGCAGGTCGCCGCGTGCAGGCACGCCTGAGCTGACCGACCTGCCTCAGTAGAGTGCAAAAGCGTTAACCTGATGCGAACAAGGAAGTGAGACCCATCTGAGCAGCCACAGGACACCACAGCATGTCATCATGTGAGACTTTGGAGGCAAGAGTGGGAGGCGGACCAACGGCAGGAGTCAAATAGGGGATCGACTACAGAATTGATTTACCCCAGTCGAATCTACAAACGAATGCGTAGACTGCTTCGTAGATCTACGGGGCATTCTACGCATTTT